GGGCTCTGTGCTGTGGACCTGGTTTAGCAAGCAGTGTTTCGCAGCAGTGCTGTAAATTCACCTCTCTGCAGCCCAGATGAGGCATACATGTGAAAAGCAGTTAATGTGGGTAGGGTTGCGTCTCCAGTAGGTGCTTCTGGAGGCAATTTTTCTAACAAGGCATTGCAACTTCTCATTGTTCACTTGCTAGGAGAGATCCCCAGGACAGGCATATTCTGGGATAGCATAGCCCAACTGAACGAGGTGGGACGAGCAGTCAGGGGGTGCTGCTATACAGTTATTGAGGTGTTTATTCTGCTATAGCTCTCCCTATTCAAGAAAGAAGTGGGCTATATTATTCTATAGCTAGATAGATCCAGCCATACGCCTTTTGGTGTATGGGTGTGCAGAGCAGAGGGGTTTTGACACTGTTAAGTGAGGTGGGTCAGGTCACGGGATGGAAAATGCTGCTAAATGAATCAGCTACACCAGTGCAGAGCCTGTATGGAGAAAAGGCTTTATGCTTTTACTTGGAGTTACCGTCTCTATTAATTTTTCCCCTTGGGAACATTTTTGGTACAGTACGTATCTCTTCCTTGTAAATTACAAGAGTGGCATAAATGTGATTACGTAGCTTCATCTCCTGCTGTGAAGGTGTACAAGTAAGTGTATGTGGCTGACCTCTTGCATTTTCTGCCCAGCCTTTGGGCTGCTGGGAATAAAGGGACTTACATATGGGGGCACAGCCTCCAAACCCTCTCCTGTGAGCCTGGCTGGGAAGGAAGACATTTTGTTCTGCATGTGAAAAAGAGATTTTCAATCTTTATTTCGTAGTGAGCTGGAGAGAACTACCTTTAAAAACCTCGAAGTAGCTCACTGTAAATAAATCTAGCTGAGTGAAATACTTGTATTTTTAAAGCTCTTAAAATATATTTTATAGTGGAGCCGAAGGATGTCTTTGAAGTGGGAGGTACAGAAATTACAGCAATGTTTACCATCATCTACAGTACAGGCAGGCATGGTACAAATTCTCCTGTATAATCCAATAAAAATATGGTATGCCTGGCCTGTAATATTTACAACTGTCATAAACTTTTTGGTTGTGCTCTGTGCTCTATCAGATCCACGATGCTCTTAAAATCACATAAGACTAATCCACTGATGGATCTCAAACCAAGAGTTTCTTTAGAAACTTTTATAGAAAATCATGATAAATGACTGTCTACAAAGGCAGTTCTCTTGAGGTGCATTCATTCTTGGAGAGAAAAATATGACTATTGCCTAGTCATAAAAGTAAAAAAGGATGGATTCTTTTTAATTCATTATAGCTAATTAAAATGTGTATAATTTGAACATATTACAATTAATGCCTAACTGCAGCACATAGGGCTATATTACTATATCTATAAGAACAGTTGTTCACAGTTATGCAGCAAAATATTTTCCTTGTTCCAATTTATTTCTTCTCTTGCAAAATCACACATCAATGTGCCATTTAGGGAGTTTTCTGCATGCATACTGTCAGTCTTTTGCCTGAATTTTTCAACAACAGCTAATCAATTACAAACTAAAAGCTCATGTTCAGCTTACTTATTAATTCATTCTCTAATGCCGTGCTGGTATCAGTGACTTTTTAAAAAATAAATCTTCTGGAAACAATCCAGTTAAATCAGAGGGAAAAATGTGTAAGAAAGTTGTATCAGAACCAAAGTGTTTGACATTAATCATCTGCCACTTGAAATTTCATATGCCCTCCAAAAAACTGAAGAAACTGTTGATAATTAAAATCAGAAAGATGCTGGGTTGTATGGATACCATACTAGAAGAATAAACAAAATCATTCTTAGGTTACAATGAAGAAGTAATAAAAAAAGAAAAAAAAAATAAAGGACTTTTTTAATGTTTCAAATAATATTGGATTAATTGAAAGAATTGAAAATTGAAGTAGCTTTCACTCTTAGAGTTACCATTTGGGGCCCCTGAGTAAAGCTGGTGACATTTCTGGACCAAAAAAAATCAATAGCATGCCACTTTTAGTATCTACTGAATGTTAGGTAGTTAATAATTTAAAAAAGAGAGCTTGCTGCTACACTTACAAGGTGTTCCCTTTTGTCAGAGAAGCAGCCAGGTTCCGTTGCCTGTTGGGTATTCCTTTCCAGTGAATTAAAATGGCTTCTACGCAAATAAGAGGAACTGCCCTCAAATTGCAGGGCGAGATTTTTTAATAGCCTTGATATGAACCACCTCAAAGATGAGAGCCTTTACAAAAAGAAAATCTCTCAAAGGTGTTTTAGGTTAATATTATTTGACCAGCTCTTGAAGAGAAAAAGGGAATTGTAGTAGGAACAAATACGGGCAGAGGTGATTTTGCCTGCTCAAGGACTTTCCCACAGTTCCTGCTCAGAGAAGCTCTTGAAGAATGAGCAAAATAATTTTCGGGAACGTGTGTCTTAACAGTCGTGTGTTGCATGTGTGTAAATCTTTTCCATCTCCTGACATGAGCTCAGATCTGTCTTCTGCTCCCAGGACGTGCAGCACAGATGGTGGAGACTAATTGGGGTGGAGGGCAGAGACTCTACGTGCTCTTGAAATCCTGCTCCTCTCCGGAGGTCAAGGGGGCAGCTGCTGGAGCACAGGTGCCCTCGGGCCTGATGTGAGCAGCAGCAGCTTCCCTGGGTTTGCCTGCTGGGCCTGATGCAAAGCTGAATGAGTGGCTGTAGCAGCCACCTACGGCACTTCTCTCCAGACAAATTCCTCCATCCCTCCGTCTGCTTTAGCCAGCAGAAAAGTGTGTGTGTGTCAGGGGGTGCCTATGGCCCTGCAGCAGCCCCAGCAGATGCAGAAGCAGCACTTGGGGTTCACATCAGCTTTGCTGTGCTGGGGTTGTTTTATGTTGGCCACCTTTTTCTTGGGCTTGCATTTTACCAGTGTTGCTGCAAATAGACCTCTGCTAAACTGCTTCCTCCTGCCTGGTCCAACTGACAGAGCTTTGGAGGGCAGGATGGGCCTCAGAGAGATGCCAATAATCTCCTCGTACCAGCCCATGTGCTCAGAGATGTGGTGCTGTTCCCATCTGCCCTCCAACAGCTCATGTGAAGCCCCATCTCTGCTAAAACTCTCACTGTAGCAGGCTGAGACTTGGTCTGGGAGCCTGGGATTTGTTGCCCTTCCAGCCCTTTCCTTCTTCCCAGAAAACAAACAAAAAAAAAGTTGCAGCAGGAATTGTTTCACTTTTTTGTCTATTTGTAACTTTCATGCCAGTGTTCAGTCCCAGCCACTGTCCCAGATGTCATTGGATGCTGCATATGCAGATTATGGAGGAAATGGAAATCTGTTCCTAACTCCTTGAGCAGTTGCACCATGCCTCAGAGTTAAGTGCTGCTAAGGAAGGAGAATACAACAGGACATCTGACCTGACACCCTCTAATTTGTGTCCTTCCACTGTTATAGTTGAGATTTGACATGCAGAGAAACCACAGCCAGCAGCTGGGTTTTCCTGTCATTCTGAGGGCTCTGGGAGAGTGCCTGTAATGACAGAGAGAGATGCCAGTAAGAGCTTTTGTAGAGCCCAGTCATGTAATTTGTGTTGTGTTTCTTTCATCGTACCATCAGCCAGCATTACTCATGTTCAGTCGTAAGGCCTCCATATGCAGGTACGCTGTGTTACACCCAAACTTTTTCTTTGCTCTGTTGTCTTTTCTCGTTTCTTCCTCTCGGGCTGCTTCTCCAGTTGCTCCATTAAGCAACAGGCAGCCATAGGTGAATCGCTATGGGTGTTGGCCATGCTAAAAGCATCCTGAAAATACCACCTTCCCGAGCATCAGTAACAAAGTAGGACTGTCGGGTGGTGGGACACCCCCCCAAAGAAGGAATGGTGCAGATGCGCAGCATGTACGATTTTAAATGGTAATTTAATATGCCATCATTGGGCTGACGCCAAGAAATGGGATGTTAAAGGCTTTTTAATGGACACATGAAGTAGCGTGATGATGAAGGTGATGTTCTCTTACATCTGTGAGCAGAGGTGGCCTTCCTGCTTTATCATATCCATGTATTTTAGAGAGAAGATAAATGGCGTGCAACAGGAACCATGACCATCTACATTTAAATTACAAAGGTCAGGTCCATTTTGTACAATAATTAAATTTTAATACAATAAGAATAATTTATAACATTCAAGTCCACATCATAATTGAGCAGGACAGCAATGCCCCACACAGCCTCAGTACACAATATAGCTTATGCGTGAGCTCAGGATTCCCTGCAAGATGCTGAAATCAACATCGCGTGCTAGGGATGTGGATACTTATTTTAGGCACCGAGTTTGAAAATTGTGGTTTGTAGAAATCTATGCAAAAATATTGCCAAAATAAGCATTCAAAAACTCATTTCAGTATGCAGCTGCTTGTAAGCACAGTAATTAAGATGTATTGGGCAAATTTACTGCATCTTTTCTCACCCACACCAGTGAGATAGAAGTTGCAGATTTCAGACAAAGACTCAACAGATCTTTAAACTCCAGCCAGGACTCAGCAGAAAGCTGTCTGGGAGAGCAGGTCTGCTGCTTAGCCTGGTCTTGTCTCCACTGCTCTGAGCTCTTTGATGGAGGGAATGTTGTTGGGATCACCCAGCTCCCACCTATTGTAGATAGATTAATTGTAGTTGCGGATCTGCAGCACTGCATTCTGGCACACCAGCAATGGATTAACACCACTTTTAATGTCTTCAAAACACTTTTCACAAATGAACTAATTTATTCTCACAATCCTGCAGGGAGGGGGGAAGGAAGGGAGAGAGTCAGTCTACTTGTTTTCTGGATGAAGGAACTGAAGTGGGGAATTTGACATTTTTCTCGGCAGGAATCAATCAGTGTCTGTCGGCTTTAAACTTTACATGCCATCACCAATCACTCATTGCTCTAAATGCTGTGTTTACACTCCGCAGCAGGAGATCGCTGCTCCTTCTAGCTTGCTCCTTCTCTGAAATAAATCAACAGGTTTTACCTCTGCTTTCTCCTCCAGCTGGGGTGATGCTGGTCCCTGAAAGGAAGACGGAGGATGGGTTTGAGGAGCACTTCGGCTTGAACTACTTGGGACACTTCCTGTTGACTAACCTCCTCTTGGATAAGCTGAAGCAATCAGGAACGCACAGTCACAACGCTAGGATCATCACTGTCTCATCAGCCACCCATTATGTAGGCGAATTGCACCTGAACGACTTACAAAGCAGGTACAGATCCATTTTTGGTATTCACTGATCTGTAGTAATGGTGTGCAGATTAAACTCCAAGAGAATTGTTATTGAATACTGCATGTGGGGGTTTTATCTTGCCATTGTTTTTTGTTTTTTTTTTCCAGTTAATAGTGATTCTCAAGCAGTTGCTTAATATCTTTCAGGCTTGAACAAAGGTTGCAGCCTTCAGATAAAGATACAAATACTTTATAAGCTTGTAAATTGAGTCTTTTATTCTGAAGCTTGAAAGCCTTGCTTTCCTTTCTGATGCTTACGCTGTGGTGATGGTTGTGGTGCGGAGCCTGGGCTCCTCACTGCCTCATCAAGGAGATTCTTAATAACTGGGGTGCTTTAAAATGGCTTGGGTGAATCGACGTAGACTTCATCTTCAAATGAATGCATACATAGAGGCCCTGATCCTGCCCTCGGATGGCTGCAGACAGATGCCTGTGGCTGCCAGCTCCCTGCCCACTGGGCATGGGGCTGCTGGCTTGGCCCTCAGGAAGCAGCTAGCCCCGTTTGCCTGGCTGCCTCAGAGCTTTACCCAGCCCACTCACTGCCTGCTGCTCCTTCCTCCCTGGCAGCTCTGCCCGTTGGACTGCACCTCCTGGCACACTGTCCTCCCTTCCTGACACCTCTGGCCTCCACCTTGTCCTGCGCCACTCATGATGTCCCAATCCCCAACCTCTACCTCCCTCACAGCCCTTCTCCAGCTTCCCCCAACTTGCCTCCTCTCCAGGGCTTTCTCATCCCTCTTGTCTCCATGTGATCAACTGCCAACACCAGAGCCCTGGCTCTTCTCCGGGTCACCTCCTGAACTTCCCTGAGAGCTTACTGAGACCCACGTGTGTGGCCGCCCTGGGTTTTTAACCCAGTAAGATGCATAAAAACTCATGGCCATATTCTGTCCCTCTACTTTTATTTAGGAAAATTGTGAGTGAATATCTATGGTTTATTTCTAACATTAGGAAGACATCAAATGTTGTGGTAAATATCTCTGCTGTCATACAGGAACCGTGTAGAGTTGTTTAGTTGATTGAGGAATGGGCAGGGTAACTGAGATATAGATACATTTCAAAATTTCCCCATGCAGTCACGGGCACCCCATGCAGCACAATTACACGCTCACTGTCTTCTGATGGGCTCCAGAGCGTTTCTGCCTGCATGGAGCCAGTCTGAGTTTTGCATCATTTCCGTGGAGAAATTCTGCCTCCGTCCTTTGACAGGGACTTCAGCACGTGTTCAGAGGCACCTGGCCCAAGGTTTCATTTTGGAACAAAGACTGAAATTAGAGGGCTGGGCTGTTTCCACTGCAGACATTTTACATATGAATGCTGCATTAAGCATGTCGAACTTTCTGTTTGACTTCTGATTACATACTACGGCATCAGTTTTATTACAGGCACATTGTTTAAGCTCTGCAGGGTAGTCACAGTTTAATCTCTTGCTTGTAAAACAACCACAGGAAATTACCCTTACTCTTCACTTGATGTATATATTCATTGTTTCTGATGGGCATGTGCTGGATGGCAGCATGCAAGGGGGATAAGGGGAGTGTAATTAGTATTTCTTTGGGCTAAGTGCAGAATGCAAAATTAGATGTGACTGTTCTGTGTCTCTAGATAACAGTAGTTTCCTTGATTATAGCAAAGCCTTGTACTGTGCCTCTTTAATTTAGGATCATCCTTACCTGTGATTCTTCATTATTAACTCATATTTTAAAGGAAGCAGAAATGTTTCAGTTAGGAAGGTTATGGCTGAGCACGAACATGACCAAACTGATGTAAAAATAATAATATACCAGTGAGATTTACCTGAAGCTTTTGTGCCAAAGTATGCCCTTTGCATTTCAACTTTATCGGTGTAAGAAGAGCCATAAACGATGACAGACTCTGGCTGATTTTGCCTGCGCTTTCCCACATGGATGCTCTGAATCACTCGGGGGCAGTAGCAGTGCCTGCTTTCTGAGCACACAGACACACCGATGGGACCCAGAGGGGGCTGTGGATTCAGCTCCAGCACTTTTCTTGGTTCAGGTGGAAGAAGATACTCCTGGGTGGATTTTTTTTTAGCCTAACTGCCAATAAGCCCCCCACTGGAGCGAATAGTTAGTCGCATAAACGGTGCTGCTAAAACCAGTGAGATCACTTGTGTGTTCGAGTGTGTGTCTACAGCATGAGCGGGTGGTTTAGCAACCCTGGAGGACTTTTGCGGGGTACCACACACAGGCATGGCCTACACCATGGGGCCTCCGAGATGCCTTGTGATACAGAACAGCCTTTAAGAGCTTTAATGGATGTGGTAAAGACACCCATGGTAAGCACTGTGATATGATAGCGTTCCACAAATTGCCACAGTTTCCCAGTGATGCAATACCTCAGTTTTGCTGCTTGTGTGAATGGGAAATCTTTCTAAAAATTTTATAGTCCTTTTTTCCCATAGTTTGATTTGCACTGGTTGGCTGTAATTCATTTCATGACTTGGGTTTATGTTCCCAGATTGGCTGGTAGTCCTAACCTTGCAGGAAGGCAGCAAAACAATTTAGAGTCATTTACTCGTAGTGGAGAAAGAGGGATGTACTCTCTGCTGGAAAAATTACTGGTGGCAGAAGACTGAATTGTTTACTGTGCTCTTGTCCCATTGTTCCTAGATTTTGGTGGGGCTAGTGTGAAAACTGGAAGCGAGTGATAGTGGTGGAGGAGGGATTCATCCATCAAAGGTGGCAGAGAAGGAAAGCCAGAACAGTGTCTTGACATAAAGCAGACAGTAAACCAAGGTTCAGTTTCCTGCTTTACCACAGATTTTTCTACAGAATTGTTTTCCCACTCAAGAGACTCTGGGTTGGCAGTCACAGTTGTGGCCATTGCTCCCCATTGCCTGCCCTTGGCTGCTCATGTCTCTGCTCTGAAGCTGAACATCATCCATATCACAGTGAGCACAGGGCAACAGCGTACCAAACAATTCTATCCATGAATGGTATTAAATGTAGTCTTCCACACTTCCTCTTTGGTTTGTTTCGTGTCATTTTACAATCTGATTTATCCTGTGTTTTGCTTTTCAGCTCCTTTTTGGTGGGCAGTTTAACTTATTTTTTCCTGATTTCCCTTGCATTTTACATTATTTTTCTTACTTTGTTATCTCTCTCTTCATGCCTGCCTACTTGATTCCTGTGTTCATAGTCGCATATTCACCTGTCTCTTGAGCTTTTTTGTCTCCATTGTTGTTTCCCTCCCTATATCATGATTTTTTTCCTCTTTTCTGAGGGGGAAGAAGTGACTTACTTCCACCCACCAGTTGATTTCCTCCTCTCTATTAATCTTCCTCTTATCTTTTCCCTCTAGACCCAGTCCTGTTCCTCCCCTAGGAATGTCATTTCTCCCCCTTCCTGCCCATTCTCTTTGCACACACCAGTAAAAGAGGCACAGCATGGGTACATCAAGGCAGGACAGAGCTTGTTCCAAACTGGCAGGGCATAGCTTGTTTCATGTGTGTTATTGAAAATGCAAACGCACAAGAGCAATGACTGTTCTCCCAGTTCTTTTGCTGAAGGATATATGAAGAACATCAAACACCTTTGTGGTCTTTTAGATCCAGACCATGTTCAACAGCAATCACATGAGTCGACAAGGGGATCCCTAAGGCAAATCGTTCTCCTTCATCCCTACTTCGAATACGACTGTTTTCAAGGAGGTGAAAGTTGAACAGAAACGCTATCTGCGAGCGTTTCAACGGGGATGATTTCAGCAGTTACATGCCGAGGGCAGTACATCGTGCACTCTAACGGCACAGCTGGGATGGCCTTTTTTCCTCTTTTGCCTGCTTTAAATAATATTTTCTAAAGTGAGAGAAGAAAAAGTATGGTCGTGAGAGAATATGGCTGTCTGGTTTTAGCAAAAGCTTGAAGAACATTGTGCCATCCTCTTGTGTTGAGGCTTGAACAGTGCCCTGGAGTTTATGGTGCTCTTACAAGGCTGGGATGGAGGGCGCTCCTTCAAGGACTCTACCTATGAAAGTATAAAGGAATTTTGGGAACATAAAGGAAAGGCAACCCTATTCCCTTTCCCAGGCTGTGGGTCACACCTGTATGTGTTCCCTTTCCCAGGGGTAGCATCTTTCTGCATTCTGTCTAGCTTTGTCTCCATGACTAACTATTCCTTTCATCATCCTCTCTTTTTGCATGCCAAATGGGCCCTGTAATGCTGTGAATCACAGATCTATGAACTCCCAGCCACGGTAACACAGCTCCTTTTCTGGTTCATGCCTCCTGTATATTCAGGAACAGTTACTCACACTTTTTCTGCTCTCTTTCCTCTGCTCTCCCACTGCAGAAGGAGCTGATGTTTTTTGTAACTCTCCAAGCTGGGACAGTCCCCAGATAATCTCTGTATTTTTTCCCTGTAGCCCTTGTGCATGAATTGTGTCAGAGACAATAGAAATTGAATGAAAGGAATTGCAAAAATCCCAGCTGCCATATGTGCTTCCTAGCTGGTGTAAAATAGGGTAAACAGCTCTTCCCAGGACTGGGAGGATGCTGGGGAGAGAAGGCAGCTCCAGTTCAGCTCCTCAGCTAGGCAGTTCATAAGGACTTAAACAGGAGGTGTCACATACTGCTGGGAAAATCTATCTAGCAAAGTCCCTGGAGACCTCCTGTTCTTGGATGGGTCGCGTCTTTCATCTTCACTTCCTGTGTGCATGTGATATTTGTTGGTAAATTAAGTTGTATTGAGTTTGAGCAGAAAGTTGAGGATTTTGTCCTGTCAACATTGCTAGGATTTTGAAAATATTGTCCATGAATAGCAATGAGAAGTTAAAATGTCAAATTACTTTTGAAAATATAAAGCCGTTTTTCAGACCAAAACCATTGATTTCAGAATATCTTATTTTTAATATATCTGTAAATTGAACTATAATGTTGATCAAACCTTTAATTTCTAAGTTACCCTGTCGAAATAAAGTATCTCCTTCAGTTTCAAATTACTTTTTTTTAAAAAAAAACC